CACAGAACTCAAGAGGTTACAACGCTAAAGCTCAGGATGTTACAACACAACCAACCACCCAGGATGTTGCAACACAAAATTCAGGATATCACTACACTAGATCTCAGGATGTAATCACACAACCCATTACCCAGGTCGTTATAACACAAAAGACTAATGGGCACACAGCCAGCACCTCAACTACTCAGGATGTTACGAAACAGCCAAACAATCCACAAACAATGGCTCCCACACAGCCAAACAATCCACCTACAGCAACTAAGCCAGCACTCCACACACCCCACCAGTATTTATAGAGAGACGGCAGCCACGATCACACTTTGCTTGCACAGGCACGAAGCCGAAGACCCCAGCCTGAAGATGACGATGGGACCTCGTCGAAACGTCACCAAGATACTCTCAATCTTACACGGGAAAAGACCTGAATACACCAAGACCTGCATATATAGATAGATAGACAGACAGACAGACAGACAGACAGACAGACAGACATATGATATATATAATATCATTTCAAAATATCTTAAAATTAGTCCTGCCCTTTCTTTTCTTTTCTTTTTCTTTTTGGACTATATTCCCTGGCAAACTATTCAAAAGTGAAATGTGACTCTCAGATTTTTTTAAAAAATCTGTACATCCTCACTCTAAACTCAGATCTTGCACAATGTCACATCATTTGCTGTGTTCACTCTAAGATGGAACACTTATCATCTGCAGCTGTTTTTAAGAAACATAGGCTGGCATAGTGACTCATCCTGAAATAATATTCATGGGATTATGATGGTATGATTTATGTGAATTGATTTTCTCTAAAAGGTCCAGATGGTTCTAATTGCTACTAGAACACAAATTTTCCCATAGCTTTAAATGACTGCTGTTTGCATTATAAGTTGCTCTGGAGCTGGACTCAAAATTCTGCAAAATTCTAGTTCTAACCACAGACGATTATCAGTGTCAGAAGAGCTCTGTGTGTGTGTGTGTGTGTGTGTGTGTGTATGGGTGGGGGGGCAGGATCTTTTCTGTTACGAGTATCTCAACTCTAAACTCCCTTCCTCTCATCCTTCTCCAACTATCCTTACTGGTAAGACAACAGATTAAAAAAGAGAAACTTAAAAAAATTACACTGTCTTTTGTTGTTCTATTGCAGCGCAGTTGCTTTTAGTTTTTACCTAACAATTGTTAGCAGCATGATTTAGATTAAATTGAAAATGTCTACAATAAGAATCACCCCATCTCCAATTCTGAATTCATGTTGCATTCCTATTTATATGATCCAAGGAGAAGGCAGAGCTAATTTAAAGTATTACAGATAAGTCTCAAGTGCTTTGAAGGTCTTTCTGGAATCAAAACTAAAGCACTGAACATTATATATGATTTAAGATTTTAATTCTGGAACTGAAATGTACCAATATCTATAATTTTTGCCTTGTGCTTTGCTTAAAACACTCAAACTAATATGCATTTAGAAAATAGAGCTTTTAAGAAAATCATTGTTCATACTAAGTAGGACACAGGCTAAGTACGACACAGGCCAATTTCAATCCTTGATAGTTCTAGACCAGGGGTCTTCAAACTTGGCCCTTTTATGACTTGTGGACCTCAACTCCCAGAATTTCTCAGCCAGGCATGTTGGCTGAGGAATTCTGGGAGTTGAAGTCCACAAGTCATAAAAGAGCCAAGTGTGAAGACCCCTGGTCTAGACAAGTATAGAAAAATGTATTTACCAACCCCTAGAAAGCTACTCTGTCTAACCAGGAGCTATGATTCTGCTCCGATACTACATAATCTTTAAGTTCTGGCCTGATGTTGGAAGTAGGGAAGGATACTTAAAATGCAAGTAATTTAAAAATCTGCTTTTAAAAAGAGAGCATGGCAAAACAAAACTAGGAGATTTAACTTATCATATTATTATGGTTTGCAAAGATTTCCCCACAATGCTCTACTACATCCACTAAGTTTGACAGAATATTGAACTTAGCTGTTGAGAGAAAGATATGAAAGAAAAATATGATCTGTTGTTTTGATCTTTTATTTAGATATTTTCTACCTTATTATACTAATAATTATTTATACACACACTCCCACATATTAGATAAGGGAAAGAGATATTTTGGAGTTAAGCGTTGTTGTTTTTTAAAAAAAACTTTTAGCTCAGCAGGTTATTTTACGCCTCTCCCTTTTAAAGGTGGCAGTTCTGCATTTTGTTATCAAATTTCAGTTACTCACATTAGGTCCTACGGGTGTAAATGTAGGACTGTGGGTGCACATACTGTATGTCTACTAAACTGTCATACTATATGCCATTGATACTATAATCCCAGAACTATTAAAATGTTTTGAATTTCCTACTCCGGATTCCAAAATCAAGTATAATACTTCTTAAAAGGTAATGTTTCCTTCAAACTTGGGTTGTACTCCTGGAGGTGTCCTTATAATTTTATTAGCAACAATATGGAAATAGTTTGCCATTGCTCTTGTTGAGGATCCACCCCCCCCCAATGTTCTAGGCTAGCTTACAGTATTGGTATTTACTGTTGATCTCTTATCAAATCTGACTCTGGGACGTCGCTGCAAGATGAGCGCTGAGGAATAAATTTCCCTTCTCCAAGCCTGATTACTACCAGCTGGGGTATCCAGTAGGACCGAAAGTCACCCCGTAGAGGCAACTGGCCAAAGGGTGAAACTGTGCAGATAGCAGGCCAGCGGTAGCTAGCCCGCTTGATCCAAAGGAGCCCTCAGGAGGAATCATAACTAAAAATGGATGTATGGTATATATATGCTTTATAGAAAGCTAGGATAATCTCTACATGTCTAATATGTATCCAATGCTTACTTGATAGATAATTGATAGATAATTCACAATAACAATAAATATTTTTATAATGCTTTTAGGACTTCAAAGTGTTTCATTTGTTTTACCTGCTTGTACTCTTATAGCAAGCATCCAAATAAGAATTATTACACATTCTATTCTAGACTGAAGTTTTACATAAGATCACTTCACAACTGGAGAGTCAGCCAAGTGGACTTACAATATATAGTTCAAACTCTTAGTCCTATAAATACTATTATTGTTTTGTTTTTGACTCCTGGCAATCATGCAGTTTCCTTGGCAACATTTTTACCTACTCTTATAAGACATAGGTTGCATTGATCGTAAACTTGTGATAGATGCATTTAATTTCTTAATTCTCAAACTGCTTTTTAAAAATTATCGTCAGATAAAGCTATTAATGCTAAAATATTTGGAGTTTTAGAAATCTGGGAGTTAGCTTTCTCTGATAATCACTTTTATTATAGTTCCCCTCTTAGACAGCTATAATTTAAATATTTAAAATTACAAATTAATTTAGCAAGGACTATTGATGGTTGACTTAAAACAGTTTGAAGTGATGAAAAGAAGATGTGTGTAAGAGTGTAGAATCCTGACCAATAGCATTCCAACATATAATTGCAGGACCCGATCGTTAACGTTAGAGAAAATATCCTTTAACAAGCTGCACGGCATAACTTCCTTTGAAAGGTGAGAGGCCAAGTGAATGTAAAAATGAATTGAAATAAAATCTTAATCTTCTTTCAAAGTTAGCGGGATATTTAGTGCCCAGCAAGGCTGCTATAGGCTGGTTAATTGGTTAAAAAGTCCCATGCTAGCCATTTATCGTCCCCCCCCTCATTCCCCCCTCCCTGCTGTTGTCACATGGGGTAGAGGTGTGTTAGCTGCTCAGAGGTGCCTAGAGTAAGGCTGTTTTTGTTGTTGTTATTATTGGTAGATTTGATAATCCTATTCAGAAAGCCTGGAGCCAAAAAGCTTAGAGCCCGCCCCCCCCAGAAGGAAATATTATAAAAAGGCAGAATATTATATTTCCCCAAAGGAAACAAGCAGCCACGCCGGGAGAAAGGCAGGGAGACCTCTTTTCTACCGGCTCTGGTTTTTTTTCTTAGCCAGAATTTGATGGATGAAAGCAGTCTGATGCCAGGAATGCCCTCCGTCTAGGCCAAGGGTAGGCAACCTCGGCTCTTTTATGACTCGTGGACTTCAACTCCCAGAATTCCTGAGTCAGCTATGCTGACTCAGGAATTCTGGGAGTTGAAGTCCACGAGTCATAAAAGAGCCGAGGTTGCCTACCCCTGGTCTAGGCTACAAGGGCGGCCGACAGTGTGGAAGAGGAGAGGAAAAGACTAAAGGGAGGCGCCGGTTACTCTGACGTGCCTGAGCTGCAAGCGCTCCTACGGGCAGGGGGAAAAGCTTTGCCGGTCCGTGGCATAGGCAAAGAGACTGAGGCGAGCGTGGAGCTCCGGCCTCTTGCCTCGAAGGCGAGGAAGAGATGGGGGAAGCAAAGGGGGAGACCGGCACTTGAGCCTTGGATCGCCGGGAGTTGGCCGACGCCCCTGCGGCTCTGCCTGTCCCTTGCGGGGGCGTGTTCAGCCCGGGCGTATAACCTCCGCTCGGGAGTGGACGGAGAGCTGCCGGCTGGCACCCTGGTAGGGGACACTACCGCAGGGCTGCCTCCCGGGGGAGTACACCCGGGTGGGTTTTTCCTATCGGAAGGCAGCGAGCGGGAGTCCGCCCTGTTAGCGGATTCCCACGTGCACACCGACACCGGCCTCGTCCTCACCGCCAGGCCCCTGGACCGCGAGCGGACGGCCATCGCCGAGAGGGGAGGTCGTGCAGGTGGAAATCGCCTTCGCCGACGTGAACGGCCGCGCTCCCCGCTTCCCTCGGGAGTTCGTGCGCCTCAGCGAAGCTCAGTCCGCCCGGCAGCGCTTTCCGCTTGCCCGCCCTACAGCATCCCGGCGAGGGAGGCTGTGGCGTTTGGGGCTACTCCTTACTGCCGCGGGGTCAGGACGGCCTTGCGGACGGCTCTCCGGAGGACGAAGGTGCGTTTTTCCAGGTGCGCGCCGTGAGCCTGGGCGGGGGCCGCTGGTCCGCTATCTGCAAAGTTTCACCCTTTGGCCAGTCGCCTCTACGGGGCGACTTTCCGTCCTATTGGACTCCCCAGATGGTAGAAATCGGTAGAAATCATTCCTCAGCGCCCATCTTGCAGCGACGTCCCAGAGTCAGTTACTCACATTAGGTCCTAGGGGTGTAAATGTAGGACTGTGGGTGCACATACTGTATGTCTACTAAACTGTCATACTATATGCCATTGATACTATAATCCCAGAACTATCAAAATGTTTTGAATTTCCCACTCTGGAACTGCTGTGGCTGAGGCGGCTGGACCGGGACCGGGCAGCTACCCATCGCTTGCTGGTTAAAGCTTGGGACGGCGGCAGCCCTCGCCGGAGCGGGCGCCTCCGGGTAGCGGTCCAAATACTGGATGAGAACGACAACGCTTTGCACTTTAGAGCCACGCGAGTATCGCGCCCACCTACGGGAAGACGCGCCTTCAGGAACTGCCGTGTGTCGGGTTTTCGGCACCGACTCGGATCTGGGTGTCAACGGAGAGGTGAGTTACGTGCTCAGCCGCCGCCAGGGCGACTCTTCTGCGGCGACCCACTTCGAGCTGGGCGAGCGCAGCGGGTTGCACCGTTTGCGCCGGCTCCGCGCTAACCACCGCCTGGCGACGGCGATGCCCAGCCCGAAGTGGCGGCCGCCTTGGTTGCCGTGGAAGGACTGGACGTGAGCGACAACCCGCCAGTCATTCGGTTGCTCTACCTCCCCGAGGCCGGTGCCAGCGCCTCGGAAGGGGCGCGGTCGGGGGACTACATAGCCCGCGTGTCTGTCTCTGACCCCGACGAACAACCGGGAAAGAGGACTGGCGAGGGGAGTTCGAGAGGCGGCCTGGAGCTGAGCCTGGAAGGCGGCGACGGCGCCTTTTCGCGGCGACGCTCTGGCGGCGACAGCGGCGTCTATTCCCTGTGCGTGGAAGGCTCCTTAGGCCGGGAGAGCCGCCGGGCTTACGAGCTGTGCTTGACGGCTGTCGACGCTGCCCTCCCGCCGCTCTCCTCGCCCCGCGCGCTGGGCCTCCGCGTGGCCGACCAGAACGACCAGGCTCCCGCCTTCGCGCAGCCTCGGAAGCCGCCTCGCCTGGCGCGGTGCTCTTGCACCTCAGCCGCCTTGGTCCCCCGCCCAGGCTCACCGCGCGCTTTTCCTCCTCGACCCGCTCAGCGGCGGCGGCGTCCTCAGGCTCCGAGCCGCCCTGGATCGCGAGCGGGAAGCGGGCTGGTGCATCTGTGGGCGCCGGCCCGGGATATGGGCGAGCCGCCCCTCTCGTGGCGGATGCCAACGACCACGAACCCGTCTTCAGACGCCAAGTCTACAACGTGAGCCTGGGTGAACACTGCGAGGTGTTGCAGGTAACTTGGCCAGGTCAGGAGGTGGAGAAAAATAGAGCACAAAGAGTGATTTATTTATTTATTTATTATTCGAATTTATATCCCGCCCTTCTCCTTGCGGACTCAGGGCGGCTGACAATCAATTAAAAACACCGATAACAATCACAAATTAAAATTAATTAAAATGAAATATTTAAATTGTCTGATTAAAATATGCTTAAAAACCCCTCTAAAACCCCTCTTAAAAATTACCCTAGGCCAGTCCCGCNAGGAAGGGAGATCAGGGATCACCCTGATCTCTGGGGGAAGCTCATTCCAGAGGGTGGGAGCTCCCACAGAGAAGGCCCTCCCCCTTGGGGTCGCCAGCCGGCACTGTCTGGCCGACGGCACCCTGAGGAGACCCACCCTGTGGGAGCGTACAGGCCGATGGGAGGTAATCTGTGGCAGAAGGCGGTCTCGAAGGTATCCTGGTCCGCTGCCATGGAGCGCCTTAAAGATGATAGTCCCAAACGTGCTAGTGTTTTCTGGGTTGGAGGACCTCCTGCAGAAATCCGTGAATTTGGCCACCTAAAGCAAAATTGATACAGGTAGTCCTCGACTTACAACAGTTCATTTAATGACCGTTCAAAGTTACAACTGCGTTCAAAAATGTGACTGATGATCATTTTTTACAGTTGCGACCTTTGCAGCATCCCCATGATCGTGTGGTTCATACGTATGACCTTTGCTGTGTCCCAAGGTCACGTGATCTCCATTTGCCACCTTCTGACACGCAAAGTCAATGGGGAAGCCAGATTCAACTCGGTAACCAAGTTATCAACTGCAGTGCTTCACTTAACAGCTGTGGCAAGAAAAGTCATAAAATGGGGGAAAACTCAGTTAACAAACGCCTCACTTAACAATAGAAATTTTGGGCTCAGTTGTGGTTCTAAGTTGAGGACTACCCATATTTTAAAATATTTCCTTCATCATCACTATTAAAAACAGCAGGTGCTAAGCTAGCTCAGGCATCTATCCTTGCCTGAAAGCTGAAAGAAGCAGAATGGTTCAGGGCACTTTTCCCAGGTAAAAAAAAATCCTCTAGTGGTGCAAAGAATAATAATCTCAAGGAAGCCGCCACTCTGAGAAAAAAAGAGAAATGAACCTTTAGAAGAGATCTTTCCTAGACAGGTGTACTGACATTTTGAAAAATGATGCCTCATTGACTGCTAAGTATGTGAGTATGATCTGTTTGTGATATCTGTCACTCCATTGATCACTGATATGGCTGGCTACCTGGTCTTCCCTCCCTCTTTCATCTCTCCCTGTGCATCCTTCTTGAAGTTGTACTTAATAGAAGAGAATCTACCTAATAGAAGAGAATCTACTTAATAGAAGAGAATGACCAGACAGCAGCATGGCAATCTTCAGTCAAGAGTCTATGACAACTCTTACATCAGAACATCAGAAATGCAGAATGATTAGCAAACAAGGAACAAGATGCACATGCTAATGTGGAGTGTGAGGGAGACTCCATCACCATGTAGGATTTTTTTAATAGATTGTGTGAACTACTAAGTTTGCAAACTATAGTTTATTGATTAGTGTCTTGTGTGAAAGGAGTCAATTGTGACTTTAAACTTCCATTAAAACCATGCTTAGTTAAATGGGTTTGGATACAGCTGCCCAAACGAATACTTTAGCTTTCTGAATGGAACAACTTTTCCTATTTTGGTACATTGCTGCGATTTTCAGCTATACTTCGCATAATTTCTCAACTAGCAAATTCAGACATAGAGATTATAGGTATTATAGCTCAACATGTCTGGAAGGCAACAGGTTAGGAAAAACTGGCTGTATAAAGAGATGAGAGAATTAAAAGAAGGGATTTTTTTACATAAATAATACCAGTTTCTGCTAGTCTGTTAACTTATGGTCATGATCTTGAATTTTATAAATTTTTCACTAGTATTACTAATGTCATGGCTTCCTCTTCAGGAGACTCTTCTGCATATTTTCTGTTCAAATGCAATTTGTATTTGTATTAGTTTACTTTACTTTAGAGTATGCACATTTGCTGCCTTCATTTTCCTTAAATTGTGGCTTCCAAATTCTTGTCAAGTGTTCTACATCAGGGCTGTCAAACTGCGGGCCCACAGGCCGGATGCATCATAGCAAAACTGCGCCCACCCCATTGCCGGCAATGGCAAAAAAGTCACAATACGTCGCGACACGTCACGTGACATTGCGAGTTTGACACCCCTGTTCTACATGGTAAATAGTTTTGCAGATCACCAAATAGAAGAGTAGATAATCTCCCTCACAAGAATGCCACTGATATGTAGGTGACTGGATATGCTCCAATTTGTGTTGACATGTGAACACAGCATTGAGAATCAGTTTGGTGCAGTGATTAAGGTGACCTTGAGTTCTTGTTTCATCTTAAGCAAAATCAGCTGCCTGACGTGGGGTCAGTTCCTCCCACTCAGTCCTAGAAAACAGGCAATGGCAAACCACATCTGAAACCTTGCCAAAAAACCTGCAAGGGCTTGTCCAGACAGTCTCCAGGAGTCAGTATTTTATAAAGGCATGTACACATACACACAAATTATCATAGCATACAGTGGGCCCACAATTATTTTGAAAGGTTTTTATCTGTGAAAAAAGCATTACAGGTAGTCCTCGAGTTATGTTCACAATTGAGTCCAAACTTTCTGTTGCAAGGCAGTTGTTTGGCCCCATTTTGTGACCTTTTTGTCATAGTTAAGCAAATCACTATAGTGGTTAAGTGAACTACACAGTCATTAAGTGAATCCAACTTTCCCGATTGACTTTGCTTGTTGGAAGTCGACTGGGAAGATTATAAATGGTGACCACATGAAACCCGGACAATACATGCCAGTTGCCAAGCACCCAAATTTTGATCATGTAATCATGAGGATGCTGCAATGGTAATAAGTGTGAAAAATGGTCATAAGTTTGTAATTTCAAACTGTCACTCTATGACTGGTTTGTAAATCTAGAACTACCAATGGTTATAAGAAGTGGGGGACGTCTGATAAATTTTATAAAGAATATAGATACTGTTGTTTCCTTATGGATTTTAGGAGATCCACAAATTTACCCTACTTTATTATTCTTTGATGAAAAGATGGGAAGTAAAAAAGAAGGAAGAAGAGAGAAAAAGAGAAATAAACATAAATGATGTGTTCAGTGTCCAGTTTTCCTAATTGTTAGGCTAGGATTGCTAAAACTAAACCTGAAGTTCTTGTTTCCTCTGCAATAAATATGTATACAATTGTATATTTGTATATTAACCTTGACCACAGGCTGAACTCTGAAATCTTGCCTGTAAAAATAAGATAATGTGCACAATACACAAATGTCCCAAAAATGCTTTTCAAAAGGCAGCTGGATTTTTTTGTTCTTTTTCTTGAAAACATTGAAAAAAACAAGGAAGTCCAGTTGCCTTTTGAAAAGCACCTTTGCCGCGAGAACCATGACCTGGACGATGGAGAATCTCCATAGACATAACGCACAAATCATTTTTCCTCATACATACATCTCACACATATGAAAAACTGAAACGGAGGAAGAGGAGTGGAGATGGAATGTGAGGAGGGATAACTGAAAAGTGAGGGGAACAGAAATTAGAGAAGTGGAAAAAGTAATTGGACAGGCAAGAAAGAAAACAGAACATAAACCTGTGCATAATTACCTGGTTTAGTACTGTCCTTCAAATCTATGTTAATGTGTATTTATCAAGTCCCTGAGTTGATAGAAAAGTATGCCAACTATAATTTGTGCTGTCTTAATAACATGGTTGATACTGTCCTTTCATTTTAAATATCTCTTCATCCCATATCTTATGTTTTATATATAAGCAAATAATAAAGCCTTGTCATTCAGTCTTAATCTGCAAAAGTCCATTAAGAGTTACCAGAAGTAATATTTTATGTATATTTTAACCTTAAACAAGTAAATGAATTTCATATTGCTTGACTTTATACAATAATTTATCATTTTTTTCTAAGAATATAACAAAAAAATCTTTTCTTCCCATATTTCATCTGTAAACAAATTTTTAAAGCCTCATCATTCAAGAAAAATCCGTTAAAAGCTACCAAAGGGCACTTTTTCATTCAGGCATTTTATTTGAATAAGTGTCTTCACAACCTCAGCAAGTGTGTTTTATGTATGAGAAGTGTTTCATTTTTTGCTTTCCATGCTGAAACAAGTATTGCTAAGTTAAAGCAGCTGCCTGTATAGTAAGCCTGAGGAAAGGAGCTGAGAACAAATTAAGTCCAGCTTTTTCAAAGTAAATAAATTGCAGTAAAAATAGAAATTGTGAAATAACCATGTCACTAAATAATAAACAGAATTTTTTGATTGCTTGAGCAGCTAGTGCTATGTATAGAAACAATTCATACAGCTTTATAAATTTTACTAATAAAAGCAAAAGTTCAAAATCTCAAGCAAGTCAAAAGAAGTTCCCTTTATCTTAAAAACTAATTGTGGAAAACCAGGACATGACACCAAAGCAAATATTTAATTGTAACCTGAGACCTTGCTTTCCTACAATGCTTGATGTAATCTGGATAGAAGCCAACCACAACTGGAAAGTATATTATGTCCTCCCCAATCTGATGCTCTATAAATATATTGGGATTGCCAGTTGTTGTTATTAGCATATAGAGTTGTCACATTAGCCAGGAGACTACAATGTAATTGCAGAGTAGTAGTGTCAACGCTGCAAATACTGTATATTCTTGCTTTGACAATGTGCAGAACTGTCTGGTATATATATAGTTAAACCAGCAACTAGGAAAGAGGGAGGAGCATAAGGATAGCCCGGGAGAAAGAAACCGGAAGTAAATCACATCTTTCAAGTTGATTGGAAGATGTGAACCATGACCCTACAATAAGGGAGTGGACAATGT